TCCCTCAAACGATTCAATCGGACCGTCCATCTCCTGATTTCCTTTTTCCCCCTTCCACTTCCATTTAATTATGCTTTTACTCCTTTTTTTCTTACATGTTTTCATTTAGGTTCTTAAAATTAATAAAAAACCCCTAATATTTAAATTTTTTTCATTAAACCCTAAATCCTAATTTAATTATTTGTTTACATATCCTTTTTATTTTATTTAGGGTCCGGATATTAAAACATTGTCTACAACTATAAATAGATCTCAAGAATTATATTCAAGGAATTCAAGTTTAAAGTCATTAAAATACAAAACTTTTTAGCTTATCAACTTGTAAGGTGTTTTTGACATTCTTATTGAATAGGGAATTGGTATTTAGTTATCAAAATAACTTGTGACATTTTCATTATTCTCATTTCTTAAATTAATTTTAACTTATCAAGAATTTTTTTTTGTGGTGTTTTAATCAAATGTTAAATCTTTATTACCTTAGTTCCAATCACATGTTGATTATGAGTTAAATAGGAAAAGTTTATCCATGAATGAAGTTTTTTTTATGGTAATTTTATATTTATAAGTTTTTGATCATACTGTTGATTCTAAATTCTACATCAATTCAATTAATTTTTTTTTATAGTCTAACAAATTCAGGAATCTAAATGACATTTATTAGTGCTTTATTATTGTAGAAATATAATGTATTTAAAAAATATGTTATATATGCTAATAAATATAAGACAAACTATAACTTTTGTCTCAAATCATAAGCCAGGTTATTTGTGGATTCTAAAATATTTTTTATTATAATTTAATTGATAAGACTTATATAATTATTTCAAAACATGATTTTGTTGTTTATGTCATAAAAACGGTATAAAAAAAAATTCTTTCTTTTTGAATAACATAAAAGCTTAAAATACATAAATAATTTGTTAAATGTTAATTATAATTTAAAATGAAAAAAAATAAAACTATCTTCCTGATGGACACTTTATTCTTCTTTATCATTATATAATCTACATGGTTTAAATAAAATAAATTTATTATTTCAAAATATTTAAATTATATATTAAGATTAGTTCTTAGTTGCTATCACTTTCTAACTTCATATAAAAAAATTAAAATATGGTTAAAATCACGAGTGATTATAATATTTATGCTAAAATTTTCATAATTATATAAAAAAAATTTGACATAATTTTTTTACAAGAATAAAATAATATTAAAAAAACTTAATTACAGCATCTCATATTAAATGTTAATAATATCAACAAGAATACGTTCAAAGCCAACTTGCAACATGACTATTAGTTGTGAAAATCTATTAATTTACTTCTTATTTTAAAAAGAGGTCCCTCTTTATTACTTATAAGGCTAGCTATTCGGATCCCTCTCTTAAGAGCTCCAAGCAAAATACAAATTTGCAAAGAGATCTCTCATTCCTCCATAAAACAAAAACTGTAGTTGAGACGAAGACAAACATAAAGACGCATTAGCTTTGATTCCATACTTATGTGATGCCTTATAAAGGGAAGAGAAAGCATTTATCTTATGTACCTAAAAAATTAGAGAGCATATCAATGCTAGAGTTCAACAAATCGCAACCAGTAACCTTTGGATGTAGAAGATGAAGCAATTCTCCTATTCTTGTCGACAATGCGCATGTTAGGGTTCTTAAGGGTTAAAATTTGAAGTGACTTCCAAACTGTCACTCAACCATTATACTCCCCCTCGTGGACTCCTAATTAAGAATAAAGTAATTCACAAATTTTAATTTCAATCTAATTAGA